TAGCGCTAAGCGAGTATAAGAGAGTTATAATACGAGGCTCTAGCCTCGTATATATAAAGCTAATTTGAATTACCTTAATGTACTTGATAGTAAAATATTTCTTTAAGTACATTGTAAATTCAAGTAATTGTTTATTTTATTTTATCAGAAACAATATCTAAAAATGTATGGACATCTAATTGCTATTATACGAGTCTACAGTTTTTATAGTACATTGTATTGTTACGAGAATTTACCTATATAAGCGTCCGCAAATGCAAATTGATTGTTAAACAAAAGATGGCACGGAAAGCGTATTGGATATTTTACATTTTTTTATTAAATACAACAATACAAATGGTTAATGGTGGATTTCGAAAATTATTCCATAAGGGAAATCATCATAGATATCAGAGACTTTCCTTGCTTAACTTTACAGAAATTTCCAAAGAATATGGTTACGAATCTGAAGAACACACTGTAATAACAGAAGATGGATATGTTTTGACTCTATTCAGGATACCAAGGGGAAAAAATTGCCACTTCACAGTACAAAGGACCCCAGTTTTAATTATGCACGGTTTGCTCTTGAGTTCAGACAGCTGGATTGATTCAGGCCCTGAAGCTGGATTAGCGTACCTGATATCTGACGACTGCTATGATTTGTGGGCAGGCAATGTACGAGGAAACTACTACTCTAGGAGTCATACAAGAATGAACCCAGACAAAGATCCCGAATTCTGGAAATTTTCATTGAATGAATTCGGTGTCTACGATTTGCCAGCTATTATAGATTACATTCTAGACCACACCAGATCAGTAAAGCTAAATTATATCGGATACTCACAAAGCAGCGGGTCGTTCGTTATTATGTGCTCTGAAAACCCAGGATACTGCGACAAAGTCCGTTTTGCTATTTTTTTGCATCCCGCTGCAAAAATGACAAATGCTAAATCACAAGCTCTTAGAATAATAACTGAAGCATGTCAAATATTGGAACCCGATCTTCAGAATGCTCTTGAATTAGAAGCATTGCCGAAAGATGGGCACATTCAGAAGTTCGTGCATGATATTTGTCAAAATGATTTCATTGCAGATAAAATATGTAGGTCTATTTTAACTTTACTGGATTCTTATAACCCTGGCTCAATTTCAGTGTCAACCATTCGTGCTTTAACTGGTCATTTCCCTGCTGGGACATCTGTCAGGCATATGGCATGGTTCAGCCAAGTTTTGAATAAGGAGGAATTCCAGAATTTTGATTACGGACCCGTGATTAACATGAAAATTTACGGCAGAAATCAACCCACAACTTATAACTGTAATGCCACTACGGCTCCTGTAGTAATAATTCATGGTGAGAATGATAATATTGTATCCAAAAAGGACGTGGAATGGTTAAAAAATCAGTTACCTAATGTGCTTGAAGTAGTATACGTTAAAAATCCACTGTGGAATCACTTCGACGTGCCGTATAGTCAACATACGAGAGAAATGATATACCCTAAGATAAGCGAATACTTATTCAAATACAGTGGTAATGGTGTTGAGTTATAAAATGAACTGTGTTGTGTGTGAAATAAATATTATATTTTTCATGTTGGAATCGAATTTTTATTATGCTATTTAATCTCGCTAGACGAAACTTAATGTTATTAAACCGCGTTCGTTTCCATTTGGCCAGCAGTCTCTCAACGCCACAGGGTCTGTAATTCATTCATGGGATAATGTGGAGTATAATACAACAAAGTCCAAAAAATATACAAGGTACCTATATCAACAAGTTTAAATATATTAGTGTTATATATAATAGTTAAAAGTTAAAGTTACAGCCTGTATACGTCCCACTGCTGGACACTGGTTTCATTTTACTAGTGAAAGGTGTCTCCGGTTTCCATCAACTACCATAATAATGGTCCTCCAGACTAAATTTCGGTCACGGTTCAACGAAGATTGACCATCTGCTAAAAACATAATTATAGAACAAGAGTGTGCATGATGTACAGCCGTAATTTCTATTCCTTCTAAGGTCTTCGGGCTGCAGGTTCGAATCCCGCACGGAACAAGTATTTGTATGGCATACAAATAATTGTTCCGGGTCTGAATGTTTGTCCTTGTGCAATTTACGTTTGTAAACTGCCTCCATGATCATGAGGAAATCCTACTAATGGGGAAACGTTTTAAAAAAAATATTTTTTACATATTTATTTTGTAACAATGATGTAATAAAATTATATGGGCATTAAGCAGTTTTAACATTCATATATTTACTCAGATAAAGCAACCGTTTCTAGTTGAGTGCTTAATTATGATAATATAATTATTAGGATAGGATGACAAACGAGCACACAGTCCACCTGATGGTAAGTGGTTGCTGTGGCCCATAGACATCTACATCTATCTTAGATTACGAATCAAATGCGTTAGCACCCGTGAGGACTAAGATGGAATGCCTCGATTCCAGTAAAAAGAGTCTCTGGTTCTCTACACTCATCATACGAAACAACACAGCAGTATTAAGCTACCATTTCACGCTGGTATTCTGTGAGAGCGTGGTCCTTCCCCGGTCGAACCGACCCATTCGTGCTACAACTTTACCATTTATATAGTTGCAGCATGGCTCAACACGTATAAATAGGTGCTCACGATAACTCTCGAAAAAATTGACGTATCGAGACCGGGTTTTGGTTATTATTTTCTGAATTATATTAAATAGGCGCTTATTTCATAAAAATAGCTTAATACCCGTTAATTAATAAAATGTTTTTTATTTAAAAAATGTTTCCATTCGTTGTACAGTCAACTAAGATAAAGAAATTTAAATTTGAATTTCAATGTAATTTTGAATAAAACTATACTAACAATTAAATCTTTTTTACAACTGTACCAGAGTATCTAGGTAGAGAAGTAGGTATCGTTGTTCAATAATAATTATGAATAATACTTATTGAAAGTCACTCTTTTGTTTAACTAACACTGGTTCGAAAAAAAACTCTCTGTCCTGGGAAGAACCACCAAGAAACCCAGCGGGACTTTTGTTTTAAAATAACAGTTTACAATCATAAATGTTACACAATTAACAACAAAACAAATTAGAAATAGCTTTGTAGCGATCACCTCATTCCTAAAGGTTAGTATAATCCATAAATTCCTTCATATTACAAAACCCTTTTTATAAAAACTTAATTCTTTTTATACAAACTTAGTTAAATAAAGTTGTTGAACTTTGAGCAGGTCATATTTTGTATATTTTCTGGAATTTTGTTGTAAAACCATCGCCCCAAGAATGAATTACTGACTCGTTTGATTCGTGTTCGTGTAAATTTTTGAGTAAGTTTGAACCGCTCAATATTACCCTGGTAGTATTGATTTTTGTAATACCTTTTTATTAAACTAGCTGTGCCCGTGACTTCGTTCGCATAGAATTTCTAATTTTTTTGAAGTTTTATTTCTTGGGACTATTAATTATATTTTATAAACTACATCACTGTTTCAACTCAAACAATAATAAATAGTATTGATAATTTTAGTATACGGGGTAATTTCATCATTAAACCGATTGAGTGCATGGTAATTTTAAATACGGAGGATGAAGTGTCCGTTCAATATTACTTATATTTAAATGAAATTAAGTAACGTAGATATGCACTAACATAATATAAAAAAGAAACTAAAAATGGGTTAACAATTGCTCTCATTTATAAAAAAATAAGGAGGGAACGACAGTTCGTTTGCTGTGTAGTAGCGGCATAAACGAATCCATCACTCCTCTACTTGCACCATCACACCTCCTGGAGGTGAAGTAAGAGGCGACTGTGGGAAACGACAGAAAAATGCAACGAATTTCGATATATGGCGATATAAACGAATCGGTTACATCAGAGCCAGACTACCAAAAAATACCCAGACTTGTTATTTGTACCCAGACTGGTTATTCGTACCCAGACCGGTTTTTTGTACCCAGACTGGTTATTCGTACCCAGACTGGCTAGTTGTATCCACACTGGCCAGCAGCGTTAAAGATGCGAGATGTATTGTATCGTCATCGTCAGTTTGTCTGCAAACCGTGAAAATTATAACAAATCACTCCTGAAGTGGGAGAGGTTCATGTCTTGCAGTAGACTTTAACGGGATAATGGTGAAGGATAGAAGAAGAATTGATAACTTTGCGTCATAGTATATCATAAGTAACGCGATCGTCTCGGACACACTCCACACTTCGGATCCACTCTTGCAAGTCGCGTTGTTCATTTTCATTGCAAAGTTGTGGGTTTTAGTTGCGGATTCGGGGGAAAAGCACCTTCTCATCTACATATATCATAACCAATGTTAATATCTGATGTGTCTAGCAGATTCTTTTAATGAAAAACTAATTGCAGTTTACCATTGTAAATATTTGGAGCCAAGCTAAGAAGCAGGGAAACAAACTAAATTTCCATCACAGCCTATAAGTCTACTGCTGAACATATGCCTCCTCCATATATATCCTCACTGGGGGAAGTTTTTTATAAAATGAACTGAACGATTTATAAAAAAATCTGCAACCGTAGTGAAAATTGATTATTAGTACTTCGTAGTTTAACTTACCGTTTTGGTACTCCAAGAAATGTCAAAAACTATAATGAAAAAATTAAATATTTTCATCTAGAACCCCTTTCTATACGCCGAAATCACTTAGATAGTGTCGGTCATTGTAATAGTGGTGTAACTCCATAATATAAAAAAAAATTATTTTTCCATAGTGGGCTCACAATGTATCATATCTTTCAATATAAAAATGAAGCAACTCCACTGATACCACTAAAGTGACGTAGATGTCGCTATTTTGTTTAGTCTAGGAACAGATTTGTACTGTTATTCACTATAAAAGTGAAGTATGTCCCAAGTCACTTTTATAATGAAGTAAGTCCGGAGTTGATTCACTTTTATTGCGACCGATTGTTGTGATCCGTTGTACGTGTTGTGATAATTATTAAAAAAGGATTTTCAAAGTCGGTGTTTTTGTGGGGTTTTAATACAATATGTCTAATACAGAAGATTTTAGTGATTCTGGTTCTGAATATCAGCCTATTCCTGGAGAAATTCATACAGAATCTGGTAAGTTATATTTTATTAGTTGTTTTTCTAACCTAAAAATATTGTGATTTATAGATAAGAAAATACGATATCTAAGAATATATTTTCTATTTAGTTATGTCCTAGAAATCACTATTATTTTATTGGTTTCGTTTTTATACTTGTTTCAGAAACAGATACAAGTTGTGACGAAAATATTATGATGCCGTCTAGTCTATCAGAACCTGGAACATCTAAATCTAGAAAAAGGTCAATCAACAAAGAAAATTGGACAGTTAATAAAAGAAAGTTATTGCGTAATAGTGGAAAAGTTTATGTAACTAAAATGGGAGTGGAGAAAAATACCAAAATCTTCGAAAATATTGACTGTGGATGTCCTAAAAAGTGTTATACGCTTTTTACAGAAAACGAAAGGCAAGAAATGTTCGAATCATTTTGGAATTTAAAGGACTTTAATCAGCAAAATGCCTTCTATATGCATTAGTGCAAAAAGCATCTGTTAATAGAAAACGACCTAAAGATCTGTCACGAGCAGGAAAAAACGTTTCGTTTAAGTATTTTCTCAAATCGCATATTATGACACAACTGGTATGTAAAAAATATTTTTTGAAAACATTCCAAATCAGTGATGGAAGATTATTATATGGCTGTGTATCAAAAGGCGATGTCTCGCAATGTAAAGATAAACGAGGCACGACTAGTACTCGAAAATTAGATGATTCTGACATTATTGTTCATATACAAAGCTTTCCCGCGTACCAAAGCCATTACACAAGAAAAAGTAATCCTAACCGGAAGTTTTTAAATCCTGGGCTAACTATTCGAAAGATGTACGATCTATATAAAGAAAAATGTTTGACTGAAATGACAGAACCTAAAAAATTAAAATATTATAATAAATTTTTAACACCAAGTTTAATCTACATTTCAAGGCACCGCACCAAGATACATGAAAGACTTACGATAGCTTGAATTTTAAAATTAGAGGCACCGATGACAAGAACGTGAAGAAAGAGTTTGAAGTTCAAAAGGAACTTCATCAAAGAAAGGCAGATTCGGCAAGAGAAAATCTACAAATTGATGCTAAAAAAGATTAATGACGCATATGTACTAACCTTTGATTTGCAGAAAGCTCTAGCTTTCCCAAAATTAACTACTTCGGTAGCATACTATAAAAGGAAGATCTGTATTTGTATAATTTGGGAATACATTGTTTTAATAACAACACAGGGTACATGAACGTCTGGAATGAGATAGAAGGAGGGCGAGGGTCTCAAAACATTGTAGTCTGTCTCGTGAAACATTTAAAAACTCACGCGGTAACACAAAATCACGTCATCATGTATTCCGATTCTTGCACTGGACAAAATCGAAACATTAAGACTACCCTTTCCCTTTTAAAGCTCGTACAAGACCCGGATACTAGTATAACCACCATAGACCACAAGTTTTTAGTGTCCGGGCATTCTTATTTGCCTAATGATGGGGAATTTGGGATAATTGAGAGCGCAAGTCGCCGTCATGGACAAATTTATAGCCCGGATCAATGGATTGAGATCATAAAAACAGCCAAACGCAAAGAACCACATTTTGTTGTAACCGAAATAAAAAATTCCGAATTTATAAGCACTGCGGCATTAGAAAAATCTATTACCAACAGAAAAAAAAACAACCTGTGGTTACGACTTCAACTGGCTGAATATTAGATGGCTGAGGTTTGAGAGGAATCATCCTTTACAATTTCAATTTAAAGAAACGCTCAACGCTGACATGCCCTTCTACAAAGTAGATCTATCAAAAAAGCAACAAGGACGACCAGCTTACTTGTACAATATTCAACAAGGCCCACTCTATCCTTCAAGAAGACCAGTCACTATTGCTAAGAAGAAGGATATGCTTGATCTTCTCCCATACATTCCACCAATTTACCATCAATTTTACAAAAACCTTACTGTAGACATTCCAACACGGTCAAGCAGACGTAATGCTGATGAACGTTCGTCTGATGACGAAATAACCTACGATTAACCACCTAACGAAATCACAATAAGTATAACTCGTCACTTTAACAGTGAAGTAAGTCCACAAAAAAAATTATAATTCGTTTCATTAAAATAACTTCGTCTTATTTTTAAGTAACTATATACTATTATAATATTTCATTTGTTAACTACAATAAAAAATATAAAGCATTGAATAAAAATTTGTAGTTTTTTTTTCTACGCGTTAATTAACAAAACTCTTAATTTCTCAAAACTTCATTGCATGGAGATAATTCACTATTACAATGAACGACACTTATACGTCACTCCAACATAAGATTATAAGTAATTACATTGACTGTGTCCCGTTATTGTCCAAATTTCAATTTAACGTACCATGCAGAATACCAAGACATCCATGTCCAAAAGGGCTTTTTAAGATTAAATTTTGAACCAACTTAGGTCGCGACTCCCCAGGGATCCGTACAACAAGCTCACCAAAAATGAACCGATCTTGACGTTCACCATGATACCCTTGCTCAATTTATTGCCAAACTAAAGCATGTTGACGTACGCTCTAGTTGCACAATTAACTTTTACTTATTTATCATTGTTTTTTATTTTATTTTTTATTTAAGAACATATTTTTCTCATTTTTGTTTAACATTTGTAACACGGCGCATGCTGTGATTGCCTAATTGTAAGAGCAGTTAATCATGTAAAGTTTATAACACTGTAATGTAACCAAACATTAATTGCTGTTTCTTACGTTGCCAATCCAAATAAAAAAAAATTTGTAATGCGATAAATTTTGTCGGTTCCAAAAGACAAACTCTCTCAGAAATATGAAGACGAACATAGGTCTCTCCTATAGATAGCGTCGTAGTTCCCCTATGACGCTATTTGCCATTGTTGCCAGTTACCACGCTTGGCAAGCGAGTTCAAAGCCGCAGTTTTTATTTTTAGTCGTTTTTAGGAAGACGCTGCTGCCCATATCCTGGTTTGCTTCCCTCTGTCGCCTCTTATGAAACCCACGTGATGCTATGGTATAGTGGATCACCACCACTACACGGGTAATAAATTGTACAACTTATATCTTTGATTAGATTGATATTCTAGCTATATACATCACAATGTTTTTAACGATTAGCAAATTTAAAAAAAATAGCAAAGTTTATAGTGCTGTATGAGTTGTTCCGCCCAATCAGGAGTAGTTATGAAAATAATCTATTAGGGATTTTTTTATAGGATAGGGTGGCAAACGAGCACACACTCCACCTGATCGTAAGTGGTTGTTGTTGTCCATAGATATCTACATCTATCCTCGATTAAGAATCAAAATGCAGATGCGTTGTCACCCGTGAGGACAAAGATAGAACGCCTCATTTCCAGTAAAAACGGTCTCCGGTTCTCTACACTCACCATACGAAACACAGCAGCATTAAGCTACCATTTCACGCTAGTATTCTGTGAGAGCGTGGTCCTTCCCCGGTCGAACCGACCCATTCGTGCTACAACTATACTACTAATATAACTGCAGCATGGCTCTACCACGTAAAAAACCACCAACCGTTAGAAAACCAAAGACCATAAAATAATCACTACGTTTTAGGGATGACACTAAAATTCCTTTTATTTTTAACTTGTTTGAAGCTTAATAAAACCAACAAAAGTTCTCCAACTTGGGAAGATATTTTCGAATTTGATATTTTAACTTAACCACTAGCCGATTTCACACCGGACGATCCAACGCGCTCCATAGGCGCGCAGTAGTATCTCGCTCCACAGGCGCGGTTGGTGTGGATGTGCCTCGCGCAATCCAAGCTGCAATCTTCGAGCATGCACTCGTTGCCGCGAGCGATCCATTCGTTGTCAGTTTTGCAATCATGCTCAAAGGGGCCTCCGTCACTTGTCGTGCGCGGTGCTGACGTTTGCGAGTGGATCACGCGATATGAAAATCCCTTTATAAGGAGTATAAATGCTTATGGGACCCTAATAACACCAATTACACAAATAAGGGTGTGAGACTGTGTGAAACGATGCTTGGCGACACATTAGTCATGAAATTGATTACCCAGTTGAGGCATTAGAGAAAAAATTTGACCTTTGTCGGGAGGCTAACGGTTTTAGTAATTTTGTCGTATATATTTTAAAAGAATAGCTATAGGTTGTTACTGTCACGGCATTTTGCTGCCGTTGCTGCACGTGTGACTCCGTAGCGAGAGTTCAAACTCAATGATTCAGGGTGAATCAACCGGAGTGTGTTGGAATCGTATCCAGATCAGAAATGTATGATCCGTGATCAATGCTTCACGATCCTAGATCGCGGCTATAATCACAATCTAGCGGAGAATCTTGGCACCGCAATTCAGAAAAGGATTCATTTGTGTAACGCCACATACTGCGTTTTTTGTCACAAAACCTAATTTTTTTAATTTAAGGAAAACATATTATTTTTTGCTTAGTATGTTTTAAGTATAAATAATTATTATTATAGAAAGTAATTTTATACACAAATAATTTAATTAATATTTCTGAGGTTATATGGCGCCGTTGAATTAATTCGAACTTATTTTTTTGAAAATATCATACATTTTGATACAATTAACCGATTTTAATAAAACAAATATTAAATGTAACGCGTAGATACGCTTTATGATTTTTTTAAACGATTTCATTAAAAAATTGTTTACTTTATACGTAATTAATTCATAAAGAAACAGACATACAGTTCTAAAAATTATTAAAATGTTTTTATTTACTTATTTTCAGTCCCCTTAATGATTTTTGTCACAAATATAATATAAAATATATAGACACAGGTAATCAATACCTAATTATACCACCATATTTATTAAAGGTATAAATTTCAAAAGAAATGTCGTTGTTAACATCAATTCTAAAAATAAAAGAGAAACATTTTGATGCGATTGATACATTATATAAAACATACCAGAACTTTTAAGTTTTTTCAGTGCCTGCAGAACAAATCACTTCTACAGTAGCATATGCATAGAAAAAAGTTCGATCATAGCCGAAACCAACGTAATTGTTAATATATCTTTTAAAATTTCATATAGGTTACTCAGCGGCATAATAATTTCAAAAAGGGAAAACCACCTTGAAAAAATTATTAAAAGTAATAAAAAAAAAAAAAAACAAATTTTTATGCAAACCTTCTTATTCAAAATTTATAAATTAACTAGCTGGCCGGGCAGACTTTGGTCTGCCCTTTCCGACGACCCTTTGTCCTTTAAAAATCTTGAAATTCGCATTAAAAATAATAAGAGTCACTATCAGGATAAAAACTATCCTATCCTACTCTCAAGTTAGAGCAAACAATGCACATTTACAAAATTTCATAAAATCGGTTGAGTGGTCTAAATAATCTGGTTCCCTTCTGAACTCGTCTTCAGCTTTGACAGTTGGCTCTTTCTGGCAGACAGATCTCTAGCAAAGACTTTGAAGCCCTGGTTTCGCTTGATCACTTCTTCAATACGAGCAGTATTAAAGTTGCGTAAGTTCCGCCGCATGCATCTGAAGATCTGTTCAGTTGCCTGTATGCTGTTAAATCTGCTGATGACTGTAGCTTCATATTCCGTCTAACAGCCGTGAGATTAAGAGTGTGATCGGAGAGTTTTTGTGTTCCTCTGCGGCGGGTCTTGCAGAACTTAGCTCCGACCGCATGGACAGTCTCCACGTGCTTGTCGTTCATATCGTCCACTGCATTGCAATCTCCTAGGCACTGAAACTGGTTTTACTGGCACTGATTTTGGATTAGAGCACGAGGGCGACGGAGCGTTAATTTCATTAGACGAGACTTCTCCAACTTAACGTTTAGGTTCAATGTGCCTCTAACCATTCGGTGATCGCTGCCGGTTTTCACCCTTGCGATCACTGAGACATCACTGAACAGTTGCCGTCTAGTCGTCACAATAAAGTCAAGTGAATCTCATTATTGGCGAAGCGTCGGGGCTCGACCAGGTACACTTTCTGTGGGGCCGCTTCTAAAAGAGTACATCATAAAGAGTCCCTTTTTCTCCATGAATTCGGCCAACTTCTGGCCCTTTGGGTTACGTTGTTCTGTCTCAAATGTTCCTACCTTCAGCTCATCGTTCTTTCTTGTGCCTAGTTTCGGATTGAAGTCTCCCATTAATACCGTATAGTGAGTTTTGGAGGAATGCATGACTCTAGAAATATCCTCATATATTTCCTCCAACTCCTCATCGGGATGTGCCGACGTTGGTGCGTAAATCTATATGACCTTCAGTGAATACCGTTTGGTGATTCTGAGTATAAGGTACGTAAATCTCCTCGACCCACTCCCAATCTTTACAACGTTGTTAACGAGGGACTTGTGTTGGATAAATCTAACACCTTCTTAGGACAGATGGTCGCTCTCCCGGTGATAGAATAAGCTGCCCGATTCGAGAATCACCGTGTCCTCCCCTCTTTTCGGAGCTCGGATTATTCTATAATATTCCAGCGCACTTGTCTATCTCTTCTTCCAGCTCCAGGATCTTCTCGTCAGTTCTCAGGGTGCGTACGTTATATGTTGCCAGGTCGAATCGTCTTAAGTAGCAACCGAACATCCACTGAACCTTCTTAGCAACCGCTGCCCCGCCGTTACCATGGTCACTATCGTAGCTGGGAATGGCGGGGCCACCGGGGACTGGGGGCCGTTTCTTCGTTACTCTATTCTTCCCCTTATAATGACAAAATAGGGGACGACATTTAGAATGGGACTATTTAGACGACATCGAGATTGTGAAATTAATTGGTCCATTCAAAGAGTATTATTATTAATAAGAAGTAAAAACTGACTTCAAACAACTAAAAAGAATAAAATAATTTCATATTTTGATTTACAATATCTCTTAGAATTAAATATAAAAATATTAACTTCGTACTTACATACATCACATTAATAATTTTTATTATACTTTAAAAATAAATATACATATGAATTGTGTTTATGAATGTATTATTATAAATAGAATAGAATAATTGCTTATTAATTATAGATTATGAGTATTCTTATTAAAA